TTTTACTCAGTTCCAGTTATTGGCATCGCCACCTTTTTGAAATATTCTGCTCTACCAATGCATTCCATAGCTGCCCCGCACCAATAGGGAGTTCAAAGGCATTTGTCTATATTTCCCTTAATAAACCCGACCTGATCTGATCCTCTTAATACAAACCATCGACAAACCTGTCAAAAAGTCGAGGCGACTTTGGACGAAAAACAAATCAATCAGCTCAAGGTCGAATAGCTCAGCGCTGTTAACGTCTGGGTGACAATGGTAAGCCGACCACCAAACTCTCCGGTGAGCCTTTTTGCTTTTCAAATAACAAATTCCCTCCCCCGCCGTCGCCACTGCTGGAAAGCCTCAGACCGGACAGGAGAGGACTTACCCAAAGTCGTGCGGAATTCGGGTGTAGAAGCGGTCACAGGCAGACGTGAGTTCAGTTTGAAGGGCAGCCATCGTACCGGCCGTTCTCTGGGATTTCTTGACCTTCTTCATCTTCTCCAGGCACTCCGATATGCTGTTCAGGGCTTCGTAGCCGGCCTTGATCTGTCCGGGTGTGAGTTTGCCGAGCGGAGCCCGCCGCGCGTCATAGTTCATCTCCCGCATCGTCTGTTCCATGGCTTGAATATCGCAGATTAACATTATCAGAGACTGCAAGGACAAATGGAAAAGCGTGTAGTTGGGCGAGGAGAGGGAGATAGAAGATTAGATTGAACATTACAGTCTTTCGCAATCTTTGGCGAAAAAAAGGGCAGCTAAAGGCAACCCAGCCCCTATTTGATGCAGAAGATGACAAATAGTGTGCCCTCGGTAGGCACTTTTTTTTACTTTTGGGGGATTTATGCGTTCTTTTCAAATGTGTTCAGTCCCCATTTGCTAATTATAAGCCTTCCAGGGCCTTAAGAAGGTACCTCTCCCCCACCGTACGGTGAATTATATACCATGTGTCTACCGCTAAGGTCGACGGCTCAGTCTGTAAATAGGAATAAACAGAGAAAGGTCGAAGACTCAGCGCCTTTTCCTCACTATAAATAATGTAACGCGCTTAAAGCGCTCACAGTGCGCTGAAAGTTTTGCTTTATAAGGTGATAACTCAGACCGCGTGGTCAGCCCACTGTGGAGTGGCTGACTGGCGGACGGAGAGTCAGGCTGCAATGGCTCCTTCGTTATGAGGCCTCCACGGCACTCTGATCCCGTGGTCTCCGAGCTAATTTTGGCGGCAAGCGT